ATATATATATATATATATATATATATATAATATTTTTTAAAAAAAATAATTAAAATTAGCTACGAAAATCATCGGTACTAGGTAACACTTATATAACATTTTTGATAGTCTATTGCTAATGATCATCCTATAGACTTTTATTGGTAGCGATAAAAAATTATTCGTCGTTGATTGTTATTATTTTTTGAAATTACAAAGAGCGATATTGAAAAACTTTCACTTTGCATGTGTAGGTGAGGCTATTTTTTGAGATGTTGGATGAAGAGCTGAAAAAAGTGAATGAGTTTTACAAGACGAAAGAGAGTGAGTTTCTTGAAAGAGGCGATATTCTCAATAAACAGCTTCAAATACTATTGGACCTCAAGCAAGTTCTCAGTGACCGGAGTCGGAAAACTCTCCGGTCAAGGTCTGGATCTGGTTCCGGGTTTTTCAGTCGATCTCACTCATCATCTGGACGGAACTCTGATTTTTCTGGTGAGTTATCTAATTTTTTTCATTCTTTACTTAAACATATCATATGATAAGTTAGTAAAACAAGTTTATTTTTTCTTAATAAACTTCATGCGATGTTTGTATATTTTAAGGGCAATTTTAAAAATAGCCAAATTAAACACGTTTAAGTTTATTATTGGGAATACTTGTCCAACTAGCTTGGGTTTAATGTCTAATTATTTTTTGAAAAAGATTATGCATAAAATATTTTGCATTAATACAAGACATATTTTCCTAATTTTAATGAATTATCAAAAAAATAATATGGCTAAATTAAGTGTGAATAGTTTCCTCCATTTATATAAAAATCATGGTGGTCCCAAAAATACAAAGATTGTATTTTATTTTTCTTCCAACAAATCAATCAATTCTTATTTGATAATATATTAGTGGATTCCACAATATTTTTCATATAAAAATGTCCACCTTAAGAAATTCAAACTCTATAACGATTTTAAATTTGAAAAATCACGTAATATGTATCTAAAGAATTTAAATTATATATGTTGATTGTATAATTTCTTTTACGTTATTAATTAGTACTATATTGTTCAATAAAAATGTCCACCTTAAGAAATTCAAACTCTATAACAATTTTAAATTTGAAAAATTACGTAATATGTATCTAAAAAATTTAAATTATATACGTCGATTGTATAATTTCTTTTACGTTATTAATTAGTACTATATTGTCCAACCAATTAACAAGATGTTAGTTAAGTGTATCATCTAGTCTATTATGTTATCAATTAAAACTTATTATAGAGATTCACATAAAATTATGTAATTTAATTGTGTACGTATTACTTTCCCAGCCACATAGGCATAAAACTTTAAAAAATCAAAAAGTATTTTTTTCTTTCTTTCTAGAATATCAACTTAATTATTTCTTTATGAATTCCATATATGTTGTTCAATTGATAAATTCTTTAAATGTATTGTTTGATGTGTGTCAAATAATCTTCTAAAAAATATGTAGTGTTTTAGGATCAAACACGACGAATGATGTTTATTTAATTTTTTTTTTGGCTAGAAAATACATTATATATATAAGGTGTGTAATTTTTTAGGATCAAACACGACAGGAGCAGAATAATATTTATTTATTTTTTTGGCTATAAAATACATTGTATATATAAGGTCAATATATATATTAATTGATAAACCCTCTTTTCGATATTCTACCTCCGCTACTCTGACACAAGTGGGACAATATTTTGAAGGGTCCAATCAATGTAATGACTAAAAACAACAACAAAATCTATGCACATTCAAAAGATTAATCGATATGTGTCTGACTTCGTTTTTTATGATCCAACCCCTTATTGTTATCCCACCTCCACTACTACGACACAATCAGAACAATATTTTTAAAGGATCCAATCAACACAGTAACTAAAAACAACAACGATATGTGTTTGACTTTATTTTTTGAATGTTCCGACCAACATGTATATATAAACCCTTTTATTGATATCTTGTCTCCTCTACTATACAACACAATTAGGACAATAATTTTAAAGGATCCAATCAACATAGTAACTAAAGATTCGACATGTGTCTGACTTTATTTTTGAATCATAACTCGAATAACATTCTTTTTTTTTTGTGTACGTAGAAACACCAAGTGATTGTGAAAGTCCAACAGGGACACAAACAGAAGAAGTGATAGCAGCACTAGAGAAAAATGGGATAAATTTTGTAAATTCAGCAAGCACAAGAGCTAAGACAAAAAAAGGAGGAAAACCAAAAGTTGCTATGAGGATTGATATTCCAGCAACAACACCAACACGTACAATTGCTGCTGTTACATCTATGTTATGGGAAGATTTAGTTAATAACCCTAAAAAAGATGGACCTAGAGAATATATCAACAAGAAGAAAATACAATGTGCTGAAAAAATGATTAGAAGTGCTTTTGTTGAACTCTATAGAGGCCTTGGCTTACTCAAAACTTACAGGTTTGTCGTTAATCTGTCGCTAAATTATTTTCATGCATGCATATAGTATGTATATAAAAGACCACGTGAAAATCAGGAATTTCACTAAGAATATTGTTAGTGTTCAGAATTTTGATATACATGAATATTAAGTAGTACTCCTAATATATATTTATCGTGGTACAAAATATAATTTTTTTTTAGTTGACACAATTTGATTTGACCATGGTAATGATAATCGTATAAAAAATGCAATATATATATCGATAGTACTATGTAGAATTTAAACTTCTATTACCATGGTAGCTAGCATCATGGTACTCAAGAGTTCAGTTCTACGTATTGATAGAATCATAAAAATATTTACACGATCAAGTATTTTAAGATCAGATCATTTGATAGGCTTCGTTAGTGAACTAGAATAAAGTGGTATATAACATAGTTGGATACGTATTATAACATATTAAATTACAATGATGATTATATATATTTATTTCACACGATATATATATATATATATATATATATATATGTACAAATACATATATAGCTCTTTG